CCTTTGGCTCCTGCTCTGTTTCCTGGCGCCTGCTTTTCTTTTTCCCTCCGCAGCTCCTCCGGCTGGCTCGCCCGCCGCCCTCCCCTTCCCCCCCCTCTCCTCCCTTCCTCCTCCTCCTCCTCCTCCTCCTCTCCTCCTCCTCTCCTCCCCCCTCCCCCCTCTCCTCCTCCCCCTCCTCCTCCCCTCCTCCCCTCCACCTCCTTCCTCCTCCTCCCCCCTCCCCCTCTCCTTCCCCTCCTCCTCCTCCTCCTCCCCCCTCCTTCCTCCTTTCCCTTCCTCCTCCCCCTCCTCCTCCTCCTCTCCTCCCTCCTCCTCCCCTCCTCCTCCCTCCCCTCCCCCTCCCCCTCCTCCTCCCCTTCCCCCTTCCCCCTTCTTCTTTTTTTTTTCTTTGTATTGAAACCCAGTTTTGTAGTACAAAATTCAATGTGCGTTGCAAGAATAAAATAAATAAATAATAATAATACAATATAATAGTAATAATATTAAAAAACATAAGGAGAAATTCAGAAGGTGCCAGTATTTGGGGCCCCATCCCCAAAAAAACCAATTCAAAGTTATTTTATAAAGATTAAATGTTGAATTTACAAAATTTGGTTTGTTGTGTGGTTTACATGTATTTAAAATAATGTTTTGGGAGTGTACCCCTAAAAAGCTAGATGGCTAAGGCATTTGGGGAGATTAGTTAATTCTTTAATTAAAATTTAAAATTATGAGGTAAGTTGGATTTGGTAAGTGATATATAGTTTGTGAGTTTTTGGAATCTTTTTGTTTTGGCAAAAATAGTTGGGTATGGGTTCTTTTAGGATTCTTATTTTAAGTTTGGGGTTTTTTAAAAATTTGTTTATGGTCAAATGGGCGAGTGGTGTAAGTGGCCAACCGGGTGGTTTTGTATTTGTTGAGGGGGTTTTCAGGGAGATAAGATGTTTTCAATGGTATTTTTTGAAGGTGATGAATGTGTCTGCAGTTCTAGAGTTCTCAGGTAGGGTGTTCCGATTTTAGGGCCTTTGACATACATTGAATTTTTGTAAAGGTTTAGTCGGACAGGGGGAATGTCGTAGAGATGTTTGTGTCTGGTGTTATGCCTGTGGGTTCTGTCACAACTATCAAGAAAGCGTTTTAGGTCAAGGTTCATACTGGAGTTTAAGGTCCTATAGATGTAGATTGCACAGTAGTAAGTGTGGATGTACTGAACAGGGTGTAAGTTTAGATCTATGAAGAGTGGGGGGTTGTATTGCCAGGGATGGGATTTAGTGATTATTCTTACTGCAGCTTTTTGTTGGGTTATTATTGGCTTTAGGTGTGTTGCTGCAGTTGATCCCCAAGCACAAATAGCATAGGTGAGGTATGGATAAATAAGTGAGTGGTATAGTGTGAGAAGGGCATTTTGCGGCACGTAGTATCGTATCTTGGAGAGGATCCCAACTGTTTTGGTTTACTTTTTTGGTTATGTGTTGGATATGGGTGCTGAAATTCAGGTTGTTGTCAAGGTATAGGCCTAGGAATTTGCCCTCATTATGTCTGGTAATTAGGGTGTTGTCGATCTTAATGTTAATTTGTGCATCTCCTGCTCTGCTACCAAACATAATATAGTAGGTTTTGTCAGTGTTAAGTGTAAGTTTATTGGCTGTCATCCAAGTCGATATTTTGATCAGCTCCTCGTTAACAATGGTGTTGAGGGTGGCAAGATTAGGGTGAGAGATGACATAAGTCGTGTCGTCAGCAAAGAGAATGGTAACTACTACTTGTACACTTTGCACCTGTGTAGACTTAAGTAGTCTTAAGTAGGCATTTCTGCCTGAAATACCTCGGCATGATAGTGGCTTTCTTTGCTCCGATCATATTATGATATGTAAACACACACTGTAACCTTTGCAAAGAAATATATATTTTATTTATTTAAGGAACCTCCCTTGAAGGGGAAGTTCGCATCCTGAAATTTCTTTCGTATCCTGAAGCAAAAAATCGACTGAATGATAGTTCGTATCCTGAAAAATTTGCATGGTGGGGCGTTCGTAACTCGAGGTTCCACTGTACATAATTGTACACTATATTTGTTGTGTGTATGTAAAACTATAATTAATCTCTGTAAAATGTATTTTTTTTTTTTTGTGAATACTTTTGGGTTTCTGGAATGGATTAATTGTATTTCCATTATTTCTTATGGGAAATATTGCTTCGCTTTTCAAATTTTTCGAATTTAGAACTAACTCCTGGAATGGCTTAAGTTTGAAATTTGAAGTTCCACTGTAACACTTCATTACGGCTACAGGTTATCTCTAGTCTAATATGTTTGTCTCTTTGTTAATTCTAAGACTTAAGTGCTTGTACCTCTTTGTGCCACTTTTAGCAACACTGGTATGGCTACTGGGTGTCATGATTACTTGGCATATACAAGATATAGTAATTAAAATATCATAACACAATTCACAAACACAGCTGCCTTGTAGCAGAGAAAGACTGGACACGTATGAATTATGAATGCTGAGATGGTGGGGTGGTGTCAAGGAGTGGCAGGGGATGGCAAGAGGGCTCCCTAGCTGCTCCACAACAAGGCGACCGCTTGAGCAAAAGAGAATTTTTTTTTTTCCTTCCCACAAACTGAGCCATGATAAATTAATTACGACGTGTTACATAAAATTGTGATGCAATTCTTCTCGTCGTGCCCAATACCCAAATTGTGCCAAAGTAACGTCGTGCTAAATGACGGTACTACTGTAGTGTGGCAACGGTTCATTGGTTCGAGTGAAAAGGGGGCACTGAAGGAAACAATGTAGCAAGCTCCTTTTTTCACTGAGCTCTGTCAGAGCAACTGAAGCGTGGCAATGGTGGGAAAACAAATGGAGACAAGATGGGCTCATACACTGTCATCACACTTTTTTTGTGGCAGAAATGCAAGTGAAATGAAATTATGCAACAAATATGTGTATAGATTTTTTTGCATTCGACATTTGAAGATTTGTTTTTTTTTGGGGCCAGGCAACTGTAGTCAGATTTTTTTTCCACATCTGTGCAGTGGATGATTTTTTATGTTGTTCAGGCAGGCATGTAAAGCACTCTTGGGTGTGGCCAGTATCTGGGTGGGTGACCACTGGACACAGCCTAGGAAAATTTTGATATGCTATGTATGGTCTTCTTGACCCTGCTAAGGTATACGCATTTTGTCTTAGCATTTAATGAATTGGATGTCTTTTGCATGTCATTGTATATTTTAGTATGTAGTATATATTACTCTTTTTTTTTCAGCTTCATATCAGTGGTAAGGAAGAAGTCAATTACAGAGCAGTTGGGTATTCCATGTCCTCCTAAGCGACCTCTGACACCTTATATACGCTTTTTAGTGCACTCTCAAGCAGATCTTCGAAGAAAGTTTCCTGATGTAAAATACAAAGGTATGCCTGTTTACCCATTTTTTATTTATTAATTATAAGGTATTCTTAGTGGAGGTATGTTTTGAATTTCTACTGTTTTCCTCTTTTTTCCCATTTTGTTTCTGAGGAATATAATGTAATTATGACTCCATATACAGTATTTACCATATTGATACAGATAGCTTTTACTATGACAGTGTCATCACACTACAGAGCCATAAATCCCCAGAAGATAGCAACATACCGGAAACTGCAGGTGAAGCTTATATTCTGAGGTGCTTGGCCATTATCCTTATATGAATGAAAACTGAGCAATCAAATGGTGTGACTCGATCTTTGAAATTTGTACATTTGTGGCCGCTGTGAAGTATAGACAATGCCCAACCCATGGTGCTATGAGGTATTGCACTGAAATGGAGCTAAAATCTGGAAAATAGTACTGAAGTTCTATTATTCAGAGGCATGAGTGTATATATATGTGAATGACAAAGTGAGAAGCAGGCTGAAATATTCTATGATTGTTTGATAATGAGAGCCTGGTAGATAGGTAGAGTATACTAGAGGTTTAACTCTTTCAGGGTCCAGAGGCCAAATTTCAATGGGTGCCCCAGTGTCCATGAAATTTTGAAAAATCAATAATTATTTTATTCGTCAGAATTAAAGATAATAATTTTGTGAAGGTAGTAAAACCAAAAAAAAATTCTGATCAGTACTTACCGAGATATAGAGGCATGAAGTTGACCCTCAATGACCGGGTGGCTGCAACATCAGCGACTTCCGCAAAATCGCATTTCTTTATTTTACGTTTTTTATACCTCTTTTCTAATTTTTTTCTTTTTCTAGTAACATTTGTGGCCTGTGAGACCAATACTGTATATAATGTATATATATACACTCACTGTATTGAACACAATAACTGCACTGAAGTTATTATTATATTGTTTACAACAATAAACATGCACAAATGTTGTATATTACTAATGTTCTATTATATATTTACATATGTACAGTCACTAGACATGTCTCTAGAACTGCTGCAGTCTGTGGAAGTCCTTGAAACAAGATATCATGCACAGAGGTACCTTACATTCCTCGCACACAAATTGAGTGTCTTTGAGTCCGTCGTTTTGTTTGTGCACAGACAACACATTTCTTCTGAGCTCATTTCTTCTTAGTTGCAGGAAGCTGTATTAGGAAGTGATCACTTTCCCTTCTCAAAACGCTTCTTTGGGTATTTCCTGAGGAGTTTCAGGATGGTTTTGTATAGCAGGTGTTACCTGGTACTTCTTTATGAGTTGTCTGACAAGAGACAAACAAAATTCACCATACGGTGGTCTGTTGCCGGTGTTTATTTGGTACATATTATATGCATTGAGCATTGAAATGTACATGAGATGGAAGAAAAGTTTCATGTACCACTTGTAGCTCTTATGAACGTAATCGACAAAGCCAAGCTGCATGTCACATTTTTCAACCAAACACATGTTTTGTGTATAATCAGTCACTGTTACTGGTTTTAGAATACATTTGTTAATCACTCTGTCAACTTTGCCACTGTCTTTCATTTCGTTAGGGTGAATGGTTGTCAATGCTGATGACTTCATTTGTCATGCACTGTAATGCCATGATGTCATAATTGGCAGAGTAAACACCTGCACCTCACCACTCGAGTTGCTTGCGTTGAACCTGGGCACATATGTTTAAATTAGAACGTCTGTGCCACACATATTGTATGTTCATATTAAGAAACACTGAGTAAAGAAGGCTTGTGTACTGTTATCAGTATATAATGTATTGTGTCCCTTACACAAGATAAGGTTCCATCATGTTTTCACTACGTCACCTGAGATACCAAGTAACATCCGGTATCTTTCAATATTTTACTTTCTATGTATACAGTTATATCCAATACCAGGCCCATGTCACAGTCATCGGATAAAGTACAAGAGTTTTTATACCAAAGCGTTTCCTCTTGGCTCGGTATATACTGCTTGAATCGTCAGTATACCTTTGAACACAATCAATAAAAGAGACTCGTCAATTACAGATTCTTGAAATGTTAAGACACATGTGCAAACATCTGTGGAATAATCTAGATGTTTGCACATGTGTCTTAACTTTCATATTGGTCGGTAAATTTTATACCTTTTTTGTACAAGATTCTTGAATGGGTATAAAAGTGCATGTTTGAACTTTTGTTGAAATACTATAAAACATTTCTAATCTTGTATAACCTGTCAATTCTGTCAGGCCTGGTTTTGTCAGGACGAAGTGCAACATACGTAAACAGTAGATAATACCTGTTCACTTGGATGATTTCACTGAAGGGGCCGGGGTACAAATTTAGCAGAGCTATGGACCAGTATGATTTATATTATGCTTTTAGCATGAAGCCTAAGTATTATTGTTTGCAAAAAAGCAAATACATTTCAGCCACAGTTGTCTGTTTCCACCGGTTGGAGTTTGACTGTGGTGGTGATATGATCTTATTTGCTTGGGTATCAAAATACTAACAATAATTTCCATTCAAGGGCTGGTTCAAGATTATTCAAAGAATTCCAGTTCTTTGCCAGTGTTTCCAGGGGGGAACAATTTGGTTGTTAGGATTCACTATGAGAGTCATCCCAAAACTGATGGGGATTGGGAACAAAAATTGGAATTTTGCTGGTGCCAATCCCAGATGCGAGTTTGCTGGTGGATACTGGACATCAAAAGGCTGGTGGGTTGTAGTTGTAGTTGTGGTTTGTGTTGGCGGATGATGCTCGTTTTGTCTGGGATATGATGAGTCAGCGGTGGGGGTCCGCCAGGGTGGTGTTTATGTATGGCAGTGGCTCGCTACCAACACCACTATCACACCAATTAACCCCCCCCCACTCATACTGATGCCTTTGTTCTATCCATGACAAGTGTAGCCACTTCGTCCTTCCCTTTTCACTGTCTATTTCCTGGTGGGGCACATGGGATTTACTTGGATGTACACCGTCTCCTTGGGCACTGCATTAGGGACAATTACCCGATGCGCATGCGGCGGCGTATATATAAGACGCTTCACTGGTGAATATGATTTTCACTATCACTACTTGAATGATCATCAAGAGCAATATAATCATAGTCCACTTCACTATCATCAGTACTCAAGTTACTGGGCCTGGCCATGCGAAAATGTTTTGGTTTTCTCTTGCGGGCAAGGTACAAAATGAACATGACTGAGAGTGAGATGTGCCACACCAGAGATAAAAGTTGAGGGGTGTCAGGTTTTTCTGCACTATTTTTAATATCCTGGTCATTGCTTTTGGCCACTAATCGATCAAAGGCATAGAATTCCTCTTCTTGTCCACTTCCATCAGAGTCAGAACTATCAGTTAGGAATAGGAGAGTCCCAAATCGCCTTGGAGTGAGAGCTGCCTTGCTGCGATGCATGGTGAACAAAGCTTACTGAGGCGGCATTCCCACAATGCCATGCGGGCGCCTAGAATTTTTGTTTACAGCGCACACACAGCATGCCAACCCATTCTCTTAGATGTAGGCCTACCAGTCTTCTCGCGCTAAATTTGAGGCCGCTAGAATTTTGGCATAGTGGGTTTGGACCCACAACTCAAAGCCATAGAACTATGGCACGGACCCTGAAAGGGTTAAAGAGTGGAAAATATGGCTTGGGGCACTGTTTGAACTTTACTGTATGAGCAAGGGATGAGGGAGGGGGGACCTATGGTAGCATAGTGATGGTTCTTACTCTGGAAACTATTGTTTTATTTCAGAAGTCTGCAAGAAAGTATTGCATCTTTGGCAAAACCTCAGCTTTGATGAAAAAAATGAATGGTCATTGGCATACAAGAAAGAGAAGGCTGTATATGATGCTAAGTAAGTCTAAGAAATTTTCAAATCACTATTCTCTATGATCAAAAAAAAAAAAAATATCCTGGTTAAATTGCTATGGATACCATTTCCAGTTTTCACTATGGAAAATGTTTTATAAATTTTTTTTAATTACAGCGGACCCTCGGTTATCGGCCGTAATCTGTTCCAGAAGGCCGGCCTAAAACCGAAATGGCCAATAACCGAAATAATTATTCCCACAAGAATTAATGAAAATACAATTAATCCATTCCAGACACCCAAAAATATTCACAAAAAAAAATACATTTTTTAGAGATTACTTATAGTTTTACATTCACAAAACAATGAGAACCAAATAAATACATAAATAATGAAACGTTAAATCAGTATTACATTATCTTTATTGAAAGATGTTGTTGGTTTATGGAAGATAGAGAGGAGGAGAGAGGGAGGAGAGTTTATTGCTTGGAAGGGGAATCCCCCTTCATAAGGACTTCAGGTATCAAAGTCCTATCTGGGGTTACTTCCCTTCTTTGTCTTTTAATGCCACTAGGACCAACTTGAGAGTCACTGGACCCCTGTTCCACAAAATATCTGTCCAGAGAGCTCTGTTTCTGACATATTTAAGATTTCCCTGAAGTTGGGACAAAGTGCTATGTCACTGAACCTGTTGAAGAATGTAGCTTGTTTTCAGCTTGGTCAGGGTGATATTTCTCAGCAAAAGCTTGCACCCTAATCCACATTGCACAAATCTCCTTAATCTCTGAAGAAGGCACCTCCTTCACTCTCTTTCCCTCATCCTCTGAAGCAAGTTTCTGAGCTGTGGTCTGTTGTTGTTTTAGATGAAGCTCTTGCAGCTCTTCAGTGGTAAACTCCTCCCTGTGGTCCTCCACCAACTCTTCCACATCCTCACCACTAACCTCCAACCCCATGGACTTGCCCAGAGATTCAGTGGATTCCACAACAGGCATAGGGTCCTCGGGATCAGCCCCAATCCCTTTGAATCCCTCTCTTGGACACATTTTGGCCAGTTTTCTCCAAGTAGAGTTCAAAGTCCCAAGCCTTACCTATAAGGCTTATGCAATGGAGGATATTGAAGTGATTCCTCCTGAACTCCTTAGGGTCCAATCTGTGTCCAAGGCCACTTCAAAGCACCTTTGAAACACTACTTTGGTGTACAGCTTTTTGAAGTTAGAAATGACTTGCTGGTCCATTGGCTGGATGAGAGGAGTGGTGTTAGGAGGCAAGAACTTCACTGTGATGAAATGGAATTCCACAGACAATAGGTCTACCAAGTTTGGAGGATGAGTAGGAGCATTGTCCAGTACCAGGAGGCACTTGAGTGGCAATTTATGTTCGAGGAGGTATTTTTTTCACACACTGGCCAAACACATCATTCACCCATTCTTTGAATATTTGCCTTGTGACCCATGCATTATTGTTAGCCCTCCACATCACATACAATTTATTCTTGAAAACATTGCGTTTCTTGAACACTCTAGGAGTTTCAGAGTGATACACCAGGCTTCACTTTGAAATCCCCAGTAGCGTTAGCACAGAACAAAAGAGTAAGCCTGTCTTTCATAGGCTTGTGTCCGGGCAGAGCCTTTTTCTCCTGCGTTATGATGCCCCTCTTTGCATTTTTGCCAAAAACAAAGGGCTGTTCGGTCACATTGAACGCTTGTTGGGGAGGATTCATTTAGCCTCTACGTACCCTGAAATCTTGCACAAATTTTTCAGGCCCGCACATTTATCGACGACTTGCGACTCTCCATGCTTAAACACACTGTGTATGCCACTACGCTTCTTAAATCTCTCAAAACCAGCCTTTGCTGGCTTAATTCACTGACAGGCAGCACTTGTTCCAGGCATTTTATTTACAAAGATCACATACAACTGCTTTGCCTTCTCAAAATTCAATGACTCCACAACACTGTCTCCCACAAATTGTTTTTTCTCCCTGATCACAGCGTTATAACTTTTCCATATCTTCCATATTGGTGACCTTTGTTCGTTATCACATTTAATTCTTTTGGAATATCAGCTTCCTTGATTTGTCTTTCTTTGCCAGGATGGAAGTGATGGTAGATTTGTTTCCCTACCGCCTGTTGAAACAATGGGGTCGGATGCTCGTTTTCCCTCCATCCTCCTACCTAATTATCTTTCTTCTTCATTCTCCCTCATTCTCTCCCTCATTCTCTCCCTCATTCTCTCTCTCATTCTCTCTCATTCTCTCATTCTCTCTCTCATTCTCCTTCATTTTTCTGGTATCCTGGGCAATACTTTTGGTCACAAACTCCTCAAAACCATGAAATTGATCTTCACTGACACTTCCATCTGTGTTAGAGCATCACTTGGGAAGAGAAGAGCTCCAGATTTGCCAGGGAGTAGGATATTTCTTACCACTAGGCATGATGAACAAGGACTAGTTATCTTTCTCCTTCATTCTCTCTCATTCTCTCTTATTCTCTCTCTCATTCTCCTTCATTCTTCATTCCCCTTCATTCTCCTTCATTTTTTCTGGCATCCTGGGCAATGCTTTTGGTCACAAACTCCTCAAAACCATGAAATTGATCTTCACCGACACTTCAGTCTGTGTTAGAGCATCACTTGGGAAGAGAAGAGTCCCATATTTGCTGGGGAGTCAGATATTTCTTACCGCTAGGCATGATGAACAAGGTCTACTGAAATGGCATCCCCACAATGCACCACTGGCTCCCCGATTTTTTATATGGTGCACACTGACCGTGGAGACCCAACTCTCTACTGCTTAGTTTGAAGCCGCTAGAATTTTGGCGTATTAATATGTCAAACACGGTGGCTCGTAAGACGTATATATATATGACCAAAACAGTCAAAGGGTTAAGGGTGAATTTGGTGCAGAGATTTAATAGCTCATGTGTGTGTGAATTTTCATCTGAGCTGCCTCCTGGGGTGATCTCTGCTAAAATATTATTTGCTACACTCCTCCATTTTAGGTGTCTCAAGTTGAAATCTCCTTGTAGTAGGATGTTTGGGCAGGAGTTGGGAGATTTTCCAGACAGTGGTCAATTTTCACAAGCTGCTCCTGGAAATGCTGGAAAGTTGCATCTGGAGGCTTGTACACAACCACAATGACAAGGTTTTGGTTTTCAGTCTAAACTGCCAAAACTTCAACTACATCATTTGAGGTGTTTAGTAGTTCTGGGCAAATAAGCGACTCTGTGATGTACAAGCCAACCCTCCCTTGTTGCCTGTTTGGTCTGTCGCATCTGAATAGGTTATAACCTGGGATCCATATTTCGTGTTCAAAATGATCCTTTGTGTGGGTCTCTGCAAATGCTGCAAGCATTGCATTTGATTCTGTGAGCCATCCCTTGATGTAAGGGATTTTGCTGTTTGTTGATGGCTCTAGACCCTGTATGCTTGCAGAGAAAAATGTTGTTATATATTATTGGAATTTGGGGGGGTTTTATTTGCTGGCTCTAATATCTGTTGTTCTGGAGTGGAGGCCAATGACTGTGCCTCTGCTCCAGAAGTGTTTTCAGTTGGTATAAGATTGCTGTCATTTCTTGCCAGTCTTTTTTCCCTCCTTGATCTAAAACTCCTCTTTCCCTGGAGAGGTTATGGCTCCTCTTCTTTGTTCCCCATAGTCTGGCTGGTCTGTGTCATCTTGTCCCCTTTAGATGATGTGCCTGGTGGTATGAGTTGTACCATTTTCTTTCGTGGACTGACGAGCATCACATTTCGGGGTGAAATAGGTTACAGGAAGGGGAGTTGCACTCTCCTTTTGTCATGTGGGTGTGACATCAACCAAATCTTTAAGTGGGCTGCAGAGAAACTAATATAAAGAACCTGGGAGTGATAATGTCAGAAGATCTCACCTTCAAAGACCACAAAAATGTATCTACCTCATCTGCTAGAAAAATGATAGGATGGATAATGAGAACCTTCAAAACTAGAGACACAAAGCCCATGATGATTCCCTTCAAATCGCTTGTTCTCTTTAGGCTGGAATACTGCTGTACACTAACTGCCCCCTTCAAGGCAGGCAAAATTGCTGACCTGGAGAATGTACAGAGAAATTTCACGTCACACATAAGTATGATAAATCACCTAAATTACTGGGAACAGTTGAAGTCCCTTGATCTGTATTCCCTGGAATGCAGGTGAGAAAGATTAATATACACTTGGAAAATCGTAGAGGGATTGGTACCAAACCTATTCACGAAAATCACTCCCTGTGAAAGCAAAAGACTCTGCAGGAGATGCAACATTCCCCCAATGAAAAGCACAGGCACCACGAGTACACCAAGAGACAACACAGTAAGTGTCAAGGGCCCAAGACTGTTTAACTGCCTTCCAGCATACATAAGGGGGATTACCAGTGGACCCCCTATCTGTCTTCAAGAAGGCACTGGACAGACACCTAAAGTCAGTACCTGATCAGCTGGACTGTAGTCCGTATGTCGGTTTATGTGTGCCCAGCAGTAACAGCCTGGTTGATGAGACCCTGATCCACCATGAGGTCTGGTCTCAGACTGGGCCACAGGGGCATTGACCCCTGAAACCCTCTCCAGGTATAGGCTCCCAAGGTCATTTATATTAATTTGTTTTTAACACATCGGCTGTTTCCCACCAAGGCAGGGTGCCCCAAAAAAGAAAAACTTTTATCATCATTCACACCATCACTGTCTTGCCAGAGGCATGCTTACACTACAGTTATAAATCTGCAGCATTAACACCCCTCCTTCAGAGCGCAGGCACTGTACTTTCCATCTCCAGGACTAATGTCCGGCCTGCCGGTTTCTCTGAATCTCTTCATAAATATTACCTTGTTCACAGTCCAACAGCACATAAAATCCTAAAAAAACATTTTTTTTCATTTACTCCTATCTAATGTGCTCAGGCATGCTTGCTGGAAGTCCAAGCCCCTCGCACACAAAAGTCTCCTTAACTCTCTTCCTCCACGCTTTCCCAGGTTGACCCCTACCCCGCCTTCCCTCCACTAAGGCTTTATACTCTCTCGAAGTCCTACTATTTTGTTCCAACCCCTCTACGTGTTCTGAACCACCTCAGTAATCCCTCCTCAGCCTTCTGGATAATAGTTTTGGTACTCCCGCACCTCTTCCTAATCTCCAAACTACTGATTCTCTGCATTATATTCACCCCACACATTTCCCTCAGACATGACATTTCCACTGCCTCCAGCCTTCTCCTTGTTGCAACATTCGCCACCCATGCTTCACACCCATATAAGAGTATTGGTATAACTATACTCTCATACATTCCCCTCTGTGCTTCCATGGATAAAATTCTTTGTCTCTACAGACTCTTCAGTGGACCACTCACTTTTTTTCCCTCATCAGTTCTATGATTCACCTCATCTTTCATAGATATTTTATGATTGTAATCTGATTTTGTTCATAGGTATAAGGATTATTTGATGATGCTGACCCCTGAGCAGACACAGAGAATAAAGGAATTAAAATTTAAGCTCTCAGAGGAGAAGAGAAGAGTCTCTGATAAAAAGATAATCATCATGAAGGGAAAGGAGTGGCAGCAAGAATATAAGTTTGAAAGTCTTAGCCAAGAACAGAAAAAGAAAAAGAATGAGGAACTTGGAAAACCAAAAGCTCCACGTACTGCCTTTGCGCTGTTCCTTATTTCATACATGGACAAAAATGCTCCAGTCAAGGTACCATTATTGGATTATACACTCGTATATAATTTGTGATAAAAGGATTAGAAGTAAAGAACATTCTTCTAGCTTTAATTTTGTAAACATGATTTATCAATATTGGAGTCATGAAGGGTTTTAAGTTTTTTTTTTTTAAATGTTTATCAATTAAAAATTTTTTAAGCATTTCATGGTTTGGTGGGAATATTTCCTGTTTCATTTCAGTTTGATATGATTTATGACCAATGACTTGGAAGAAATTATGGAAATGATTGGTGAATTTTCAATAAGTGACTTCAATTTTGCATACTTTGCAATACAGTGGACCCCCACTTTACGATCAGCTCCCAATGCGACCAATTATGTAAGTGTATTTATGTAAGTGCGTTTGTACATGTATGTTTGGGGGTCTGAAATGGACTAATCTAATTCACAATATTCTTTATGGGAACAAATTCGTTCAGTAATGGCACCTGAACATACTTCTGGAATGAAATAATATCGTAAACCGGGGGTCCACTGTATTTATTTTTGTAATAAATAGTTAATTAGTCATGACAGGACAGTAGCAAGTTGGTTATAATTGTTGCAACTTAATAAGGCTGTCAGATACCAAATAGTTGTATTGTTATGTATAAATGAAAATACATATCATGTATTTAAAGTGGCATTTTAGATTAGGATCGCTTATGTACAGAACGTTGGCTGACAGCCTTCTCTTTCCACAAAGTACCCACAATTTGGAGAGGAAATTTTAGATGACATTTCTGTCCATCATGAATCATGATCCACCAGGAGGCCTGGTCACAGACCGGGCCGCGGGGGCGTTGACCCCCGGAACTCTCTCCAGGTAAACTCCAGGTAATCAAGTTGTGACCTCATGTACATTCTTGAAGTGTTTTACACAGACTTCCAGGTTTTTATATGGTAGCTAAGCTCTTAACATGAGGTGAATGAAATCCCATGAAAATACAAGCTAAATATACCTTGACAGTCCACAACAACTCAAATTATTATAAATATATGTAAGTGTTACAAAATCTTTTCATGCATTGAAAATAATAATTTATACACATTAGTCAGAACTTTGCTGGTATCCACACATTAGCCAAAACTCTGCTGGTATCCACACATTAGCCAAAACTCTGCTGGTATCCACACATTAGCCAGGATTCTGCTTGGTATCAACACATTAGCCAGAACTCTGCTGGTATCCACATAATTAGCCAGGATTCTGCTTGGTATCCTTACATTAACCAGAACTCTGCTGGTATCCACACGTTAGCCAAAACTCTTTTGGTATCCACACATTAGCCAGGATTCTGCTTGGTATACACACATTAGCCAGAACTCTGCTGGTATCCACACATTAGTCAGGATTCCACTTAGTATCCACACATTAGCCAAAACTCTGCTGGTATCCACACATTAGCCAGAACTCTGCTGGTAGCCACACAGCCAGAACTCTGTTGGTAGCCACACAGCCAGAACTCTGTTGGTAGCCACACAGCTGGAACTCTGTTGGTAGCCACACATTAGCCATAACTCTTCTGGTATCCACATAATACTTTATAATGGCCCTGGACGGACTGAAATGTCATCTAAAATTTTCTCTCTGAATTATGGGTACTTTGTGAACTGCTCCATCCAGTGTTAGGGTTTTTAATCTTGAGACTTATGACTGGTATGCTACTAAAGTACTCAGTAACTAGTAATTATCCAAGCAAAAAAATATGTTTTCACCTTTATTTATTGTTAAAGTGAAAAACTAATATATAGTCTTGTTTTCATGTAGAATATCCTGACAGAAGCTGCTAGTAAATGGAAAAGCTTGCCTCCAGAAACACAACAGGAGTATCACTTGAAGGCAAAAGAGCAGAGAAAGATATACGAGTGTGAGCTTACTGATTGGGAAGCTAAGTAAGTATTGTAGTACTGTTACATAAATGTATGAAAGGTTATAACTGCTTAATTTATTACAGTGCATAAATTACTCCAGCTAGATCTATAACATCTTACATATTGTACTACAGTGGACCCCCGTCTTTCGGCGGCCGTGACTTTCGTAAAATCCGACTTTCGGCAACTTTTTCGGCAAAATATAGCCTCGCGGTTCATGATTGGCCTCATGATTCAGTGACTGTCTGGTACGCATCAGAGTGGCATCCCATCCTCAGTGCGCACACAAAGCCAGTCTCCTGCACCATTCACACTCAGTGTGTCATTGTTTATCAGCGAGTGACCATCACCCCACAGGTTCATACAATACATTTCATAATAATCCATTGTTTTTTTGTGCTTGCAACTATTAAATAAACCACCATGAACCCAAAAATAGCTCATAGTGCAAGGCCTTTGGTAAAGAAGGAAAGAAACACGATAGAATTCAAGAAAAAACTCGTAGCAAAGTACTAAAGTGAAGGAGGAAGAGAGAGGGGAGAATGTACCTTCTTCAGTGATTCTACAATATGTACGATACTAAAGCAGCAGGTATCGATAAAGGCTATAGTGCCAGCCAGCGATAGAGTGTAGCATTAACAGTGTAGCAAGTATGTTAAGTGATTAAGCAATAGAAAAATAACATGAAAGTAACTCTCCAATGTTGTTGGTGTATAGGGCCACTGAACATATGCTGTCCTGCTATCTTCCACCACCCTGAACCTCTGACAGCATCTCCATCAAGGTAAGTGTAAATATTTCTTACTTATAAATTAAAGTGTAAATATTTCCTATTTATAAATTACGTACATTGTTTCAGTGTGAATAGTGTCGGTGGCTTCTGCTGCCGCGTCCACCACCACTAATATTCAATTCAAATTCAAATTCAAAGTTTATTCTCTATAAGTATTACAATGCTGAGTTTACAGAATTTGGTTATTGTGTGGTTTACATGTAGTAAAATAATAATTACAGAGTGTACCACTAGAACGCCTAGCATGGCTAGGCATTTCGGGCAGACTTATATTAAATCTTAGGTTTAAAATGTTACAGAATTATGAGATAAGTTGGTATTATGGCTAAGTGACTAAATACTAGTTGTGAGTTTAGCAATGTGAATGCTTTTGTTTTGGCACTATACATAGTTTCAGTATTGGAGTATCACAGGCCAACTTTTGACTAGTTAAGATTCATTTTTTTTGAGATTGAGATTGATATTTCTGTTTATGGTAAAAATGGTGAGTGAGTGTAAGTGTGAACCACCGGGTGGTATTCTATTATTATTAACAGGGTGTATCAGGAGATAAGATGTTTTCTGATGGTTTTTGAAGGTATGAATGTGTCTGCAGTTTGGAAATTTTCAGGTAGGGTGTTCCAGATTTTGGGGCCTTTGACATACATGGAATTTTTGTAAAGGTTTAGTCGACAGGGGGAATGTCATAGAGATGTTTGGGGTCTGGTGTTGTGCCTGTGGTTTCTGTCACAATTCAAGAAAGCATTTTAGGTCAAGGTTAATATTGGAATTTAAGTCCTGTAGATGTAGATTGCAAAAGTAGTAAGTGTGGATGTACTGAACAGGGAGTAAGTTTAGATCTATGAAGAGTGGGGGGGTGTTGCCAGGATGGGATTTAGTGATTATTCTTACTGCGGCTTTTTGTTGGGTTATTATTGGCTTTAGGTGTTTTTGCTGCAGTTGAACCCCAAGCACAGATAGCATAGGTGAGGTATGGATATATAATATGAGTGGTATAGTGTGAGAAGGGCAGTTTTGGGGCCCACTAGTATCGTATCTTGGAGAGGATCCCAATCGTTTTGGATACTTTTTTGGTTATGTGTTGGATATGGGTGCTGAAGTTCAGGTTGTTGTGGGTATAAGGCCTAGGAATTTGCCCTCATTATGCCTGGAAATTTAAAGAGTGTTGTCAATCTTAATGTTAATTTGCGCATCTCCTGCTCTGCTACCGAACAAAATGTAGTAGGTTTTGTCAACGTTAAGGTAAGTTTATTTGGCTGTCATCCAAGTCGATATTTTGATCAGCTCCTCATTAACAATGGTTGTTGAGGGTTGTAAGATTAGGGTGAGAGATGACATAAGTCGATCATCAGCAAAGAAAAATGGGGTTCGGGGTGTCAAGATACGTTTGGAAGTTTTTTCATTGATGTATATGAGGAAGAAGCAGGGGCCCAAAGGACACTTCCCTGCGGAACTCCCAGTATCAAGTGGCTGTGTTTGATGCTGTGTCTTTAATGGTGACATACTGATACCTATAGTAAGGTAAGATTTGAAATGCAAGCCATGGCCTCTTATACCATAATGGTCAAGTTTGTGGAGTAGGATGCCGTGGTCAAACTGTGTCAGAAGCTTTTCTTAGGTCAATAAAAATTCCTAGTGGATATCCTTTTTTTCCAATGCTGTGTAAAGCAGATCTAGCATTTTTATAATTGCATCGTTAGTGCTTTTATTTTCCTGAATCCAAATTGGCAGGGGTTGAGTATGTTTTGTGACGTTATAAATGAATATAGTCTCCTGTGCACGAGTTTCTCAAAGATTTTGGATAGCAATGGTAAGTTTGATATTGGCCTATAGTTGTTTAAATCTGTAGGGTCACCACCTTTATGTTTTGGGGTGTAACCCTTGCCGTCTTGAGTATTTTTCGGGAAGGTGCTAGCTTCTAGTGACTTGTTAAAAAGCAATGAGATAGTATGTGAGAGGACAGGGGCCACCTCTTGTACAATAATGGTGGGACATGAGACAGATTCCCTGAGTTATTTTTAAGTGACTTTATAATCTTGGTGACTTCCGTGGGCTCAGTTGGAGCAAGATAAAAGGGAAATTTTGGGAAATTCCCATCTAGGTAGTCCCCGGCATGGGCATTGGTATGTGGGATTTTTTTGGGCCCGAGAATAGAACCTATGGTTGAGAAGAAGTCGTTTATCTTGTTAGCTGTGTCGGTGGTTGCAGTGGTGTTTCATTGGGGTTTTATTAGGACAATACAGTATTCTTGTTTTTTTTCAGTTTGGGGGGGTCCCTAGAATCTGAGAGAGTGTTTTCCAGGTCTTTTTTATATCTCCTCTTGTGTCAGTGAATCTACTGGAGTAGTATAGTTGTTTGGCTTTCTTTATTACTTTGGTGAGGACTAAATGAATAGTTTTTTTAAGAATATCTTGTGTATTAACCCTGTCTATATTGCTTTTCATATTGGTGTTTCTTATAAATGGATTTCAAAATGGGCGGTTAGCCATGGGCAACCAAGCCGTTGTTTGTGATCTGTTTCGTTTTTATAGGACAATGTTTGTTGTATAGTCTAAGTAGTTGTTAAGAAAAATGTCTGTCCAGTCCGTCAAATCCCATTGGCCTTGGAGAATTCTGTAGGCCAGTCAACAGTCTCAGGTCAACGGGGAACTTCCTTATTGAGGCCTCATCATGGAGTCTAAATGAATTTTGTTGTATTCAAGGGGTGGTTTACTAATGTTTGTCAAGAGGAAGGTAGGGTAGTGGTCTGTAGTGCAAATCTGTGATTATCCCTGATTTAAGGGGGCTAGTAATTGGTCCATAAGATAAGATAGAAAAGATTTCTTCGGATTTTTAACCCCGGAGGGTTAGCCACCCAGGATTAACCCAAGAAAGTCAGGGGCGTCTCGACGACTGTCTAACTTATTTCCATTGGGGTCCTCAATCTTGTCCCCCAGGATGCGACCCACACCAGTCGACTAACACCCAGGAACCTATTTTACTGCTAGGTGTAACAGGACAACAGGTGTAAGGAAACGTGTCGAAATGTTTTCCACCCGCCCGGAATCAAACCCCGGGGCCCCCTCCGTGTGTGAAGGGGGAGTTTTTAGCCACCAGGCCACCGGGCCAAATTGTGGTCTAATTATGGTTGCACTTGTTTCAGTGAGCCTGGTTTGGGTTTTTAGTTATTGTTGGTATGAGAAGTGTGTTGTTCATATTGTTGATGAAATCAGTTACAGGCTGATCATCTAGTAGGCCAAAGGTTGATGTTGAAGTCTCCAGCTAAGAGAAGGTGGTGTTTATTCATTTGTCTGTTTGTTATTAGTGCCTTTAATTTCTCACTGAAGTTTGGGGATGTTAGTGGGGGGTATCCGGTAAATGGCACCGATTGTTATAGGCGTCTTAAGGTTTTTTACAGTAAAATTAGCAAAAATGATTTCTCCATATTCATCACTAAAGCAATTGGTGCTGATACAAGATAATTGGTTAGAGAAATATATTGCAATACCACCCCCAATTTGGGTATGGTCTGCAGTTGTGGATTGCTGTGTATCCTGGTAGAGGGTAGATATCTATTGTGTCCTGTTTTGGGCCAGGTCTCGTAAGAATAATGCAGGAGAAGGGTGTCTTTAGTGATTCAAGAGTGCCAGGAGGTCATCATAGTTTTTGCTTAAGACCTGATGTTGTAGTTAAGTACTGATAGACTTTTATCATTGTTTAGGATAGTGCTGGCTTGTGATGTGTGTAGTAAAGGCAGTTACTTTCCAATAGGTTTTGATTTTGTGTCAGATTATGTAGGTTTAGTTTCAGTGCAACGTGATCAATCATCTTCTGGGTTTAAATTATGGTTATTTTATATCCTGAGTTGTGTGTTGAGTTTTAGTACTGATATCTGTAGTGGGGGGAAGTTTGGCCCAAGTATATAGCTATAGCATTTTGGTTATGTAGAGTATAGTCACTAATACACATAATGAAGTTTGGTGTTGTCTATGTTTGTGCTGGAATGAGCTAAGTACAACTAGGTATAAACTAATAATATAAAAATACAAATTAAAAATAGCACAAGACTCTCACTTGTAATTGCACTAAGGTCTAATGTAATGACTTTGGTATAGTCTATGTATTGACCTAGAGTGAGCAATAGTACAACTAGGTTTAATCTAATAAGTAGAAATACAAATTAAAAAAAAGCCCCGGGCTCTCACTAGTAATTACACTATGGTCTAATATAATGACTTTGGTACTGACA